GAAAACATTTCCATGTAATACACACCAAATGCACATCAGGAAAAACTGTTTCTAGTTATTAATAGTTTGCAATTGACAAAGAATGTAAAATAACGCAATATGCAATTATTGTCTGAGTGAGTCCAGCCATGTAACGTTTCCAGTTATTTGATTTTGCCGTTGATATGATACACATGCATTAACTGAACAGCCTATTGTAAACTAAATTACTACACAGATTCTAACTCAGAACCTTCTTTTCCCCGCAGAATACCAGGGGAGCTAGAGGCATATACTGCCAGATAAACCTCCAGACTCCTGAGGTTGTACTTTTGGTGAGGATACGAAGCCACATTTCCGCCTGAGCAGGGATGCCTTGAACTTGCTCATGGCTACTTTGGAGGAGGACCACTCTACCCACGGCTGGGGCAGGGAAGTGGAGATGCTGGTGTTCCTCTACTGGCTGGCTAGTGCCACATCATACCGTGTCGTGGCAGAGGCTTTTGCAATTCCAACGCAAACAGTCTTTGACTTGGTGCACAAGGCCAGTAAGAGGGTTCTTGCCATTGTGAAGCGGGTGATCCGTTTCCCCACTGCTGCAGAGATGGACGGAGTTGGTGCTGGTTTTGCTCGCCTGGCGGGGTCGGCAGTGTTTGCTCGTGTGGCTGGCAGCATCGATGGCTGCCATGTGAGAGTGGTTGCCCCAGCAGCACACGAGCAGGCATATTTAAACCGCAGGCTCTTCCACTCAATCCAGTTCCAGGCCATCTGTGACCACAGGGGGAAGTTCCTGGACGTCTTTGTGGTTACCCTGGATCAGTCCATGATGCACGTGTCCTCAGACACTCTGATGTGTATGTTCATCAGCTGTACCCCCCACAGGCATGGTTCCTCATTGAAGACGGTGGATACCCCTGCATCCAAGACCCATCACCCTCATCACACCCTATCAGGAGCCAGTGCAGAGCCTGTACACCGCAGGTTCAATGGCAAGCTCTCCAGAGCCAGGCTCGTTGTAGAGCAGGCCTTTGGGATCATGAAAACCAGGTGGCGGACCATCTTCCTCAAGGCTATGGAAGTGAGAATTCCATTTGCTGTGGAGGTGATAACCTGCTGTGCTGTTCTGCACAACCTGTGCCTGGGTACAGAGGACCTGGAATTCCCTTCTGATCAGGACGCGGATGAGGCTGACCCTGATGATCAGGACGCGGATGAGGCTGACCCTGATCCTGATGATCAGGACGCGGATGAGGCTGATCCTGATCCTGATGATCAGGACGCGGATGAGGCTGATCCTGATCCTGATGATCAGGACGCGGGTAAGGCTGACCCTGATCATGATGATCAGGACGCGGATGAGGCTGATCCTGATCATGATGATCAGGACGCGGATGAGGCTGATCCTGATGATCAGGACGCGGATGAGGCTGATCCTGATGATCAGGACGCGGATGAGGCTGATCCTGATCATGATGATCAGGACGCGGATGAGGCTGACCCTGATGATCAGGACGCGGATCAGCTGAGGGACCCTGATGATCAGGACGCGGATGAGGCTGATCCTGATCATGATGATCAGGACGCGGATGAGGCTGATCCTGATGATCAGGACATGGATGAGGCTGATCCTGATCCTGATGATCAGGACGTGGATGAGGCTGATCATGATGATCAGGACGTGGATGAGGCTGACCTGATCCTGATGATCAGGACATGGATGAGGCTCATGACAGCACCTATCCATGAAATCTACACATGCAAATGGTATAAGTTACTCGAAACCCTTGCGGGCAGTGTTCCGCTGTCCGGTGAACAGATTGCTGTTCCGGGCTCTCCACCGGATCAGCTGCCGCGTGTGGTCATCTGTCCCTGTACAGTCAAAGCACTTGTTTTCAACATCCATACAATAATCATGAGTAAATGTTTTTGAGCTTCTGATAACTCATTACAGGTCGTGATCTGCACTATGGCTCAGTGAATAATACAAAACGTCACATTGCATTTAAACAATTTAACAACTTCACATTTGAAAGGCACGTTGCCCGAACCAGCTGCATCCATGGTCATTTGCTTGATTTGGAAGCGCACGTGAAGTGACCATAGGAAATGACGTTTTATATTTCCGTTTCTCACAACAGCATTGTGGGAGTTAGTATACAATTCATTTCCTGAAAGCACGCATCCGATCCGTACTGCATGAAACCCGGAAGTTAGTATCCATACTGAAATGTTCAGTATACTGCACGGACCCAAGAAATGACCACTGAATGACCACGAAAGTTCAGCCTACTGAAACTCCATACTGAAAAGTACTGCCTGCTGAACTGTGACTATTCAGAAAGGGACCTGGTGTCGCTCTTTTTCTCCTTCTTCTCTGTCCTCCAATAACTGTCATACACTCTCTACTGTCACAGACCACAGCACTGAATTCACTATCCTGTACACGTCACCTGCAGACTGTCTCATCAACATCTGTCACCTGTCAATTACTGTAACCACTCCAATCTCACCCAGGTACGCCTCCAACCTCTCCCACAACCTTTAATTGCACTTCAGCTAACTTTGGTCTTTTAAATATCAGATCCCTTAATAATAAATCTTTTATCTGCCTTGATTTTATAAATCATAATAATCTGGACTTTTTTATTGTCACTGAGACCTGGTTGACTATGGGAGATTGCAGTCCTCTGATTGAAGCAACACCCCCACTCACCTTCACCAGCCCAGGCTGTCAGGCCGGGAGGGGGGGTTGCTGTTATTCATAGAAAAGATTTGAAATGCTCTCCAATTATACACACTCATTTTACATTTCATTTTACATCATTTGAGCACCTTGGTTTTATTGTTAACTTAAAAGATCCTGTGTTAATTTTAATCATCTACAGACCACCCAGACCTAACAATGTTTTAATTGCAGAGTTTTCAGAGTTTCTATCACATTTTATTTCTAAGTATGATAAAATCCTTGTTTTAGGTGATTTTAACATACATGTCTGTTGCCCCTCTCAGTCCCTCGCGGGTGATTTTATGGATATTCTAGGAACCCACTCACTCTAAGGGCACACACTTGATCTTGTACAGTGGTCTCAGCCCTAACATCTTTGAGACAAAGGATATCTGTGTGTCAGACCACAAACTGGTTTTATTCAGAATGGTTTTATCTCAGCCACCTGTCCGCAGCACGTGTTTAACTCTACGTCTGCTAGCAAGTTTAAGGAGCTTTTTATTTCTTTCTCTTCAACTGCCTTTTACCAAAATTTGAACACAGAGGAGCTGGTCTCCTCTTTTAATCTCACCTGTCGAACTGTGCTGGACTCTGTTGCTCCCTATAAAGACAAAAAACTAACAGAGCTCCACAGCCAAGGCTAAACGAACTGACTCAGGATCTAAAAAGAGACTGCAGAAGGAAAGAACGAAAATGGAAAAAAACAGGCTTGCATGTATTTTATGAAATATGGAGAGATTCAATGAAACAATACCAAAAGGCAGTTAAAGACGCAAGAGCAGCATTTCATTCTAATCTGATTTTAGCCAATCATTCTAACCCCAGAAAAAAAGGTTTTAGAATCAATCACCACCCCCTCCCCTTCTTATTTTACTGATCCTTCTCAGGATCTATGTGAGAAGTTTTTAACTTATTTTACTAATAAAGTCAAAGACATTAGGCAACACAATCATTCCCCCAGACCGTATTTTAGACACCAGCAGGGAACTTAACAGTTATTTTAGCAGTTACGAGCCGGTGTCCTTGACCTTCTTATCTGAAATTTTAACCCCACATGAAATCAGCTACGTGCAGCCTTGATTTTATTCCCACAACATTTCTCAAAGAGTTTTTAGCACAGTTGGACCCAGTACTTTATCCATTATTAATAGTTCCTTGGTGGAAAGTGTAGTCCCTCTGCTTTTAAACATGCTGTGGTCCAACCACTTTTAAAGGAACCCAACCTTGATCCCTAATCTCAAAACTTCCATTTTTATCAAAAGTTTTAGAAAAGGTGGTTTCAACACAACTTTTATCTTTTATGACTGAAAATAACCTCTTTGAGAAATTCCAATCCGGTTTTAGAGCTTGTCACAGCACAGAGACTGCCCTCCTCAAGGTAACCAATGACCTTCTTTTAGCAACAGATAGAGGGGAGGGCACAATTTTAATTCTTTTTAGATCTTAGCGCAGCTTTTGATACTGTTGATCACACAATTTTAATTGATCGTCTCAGAAAATGGGTTGATTTAAAGGACACTGCACTTAGCTGGTTTTACTCTCATCTTTTAGAAAGAACCTTCGCGGTCACCATCGTAACTACTCCTCCTCTACCTCTAACATTACCTGGTGTACCGCAAGGTTCGGTTTTAGGTCCCATTTTATTCTCCATTTATATGCTGCCTCTTGGCCAAATAATTGAACGCCACAATGTCTCCTTTCACTGCTACGCAGACGACACACAGGTATACCTTCCTTTGAGACCTGAGGACACACTAGGAGCCTAGCTGCTGTCAGAAACTGCCTAAACGATATCAACTGCTGGATGGCACAAAACTTTCTCCAACTGAACAATTCTAAATCTGAAATCATAGTATTCAACCCGCCAAACTCCACTCATATCTCAAAGAGCAGCCTCGGTCCCTTATTCACCAATGTCCAACCCACCGCCAGAAATCTAGGAATAACATCTGATTGCAATCTCACCTTTGAATCCCATATCAAAACAGTTGTCCGATCATGCTTCTTCCATCTACGCACCATCTCCAAAATTAAAACAATTCTAACTCAACCAGACCTTGAAAAGATCATCTACGCCCTCATTTTCTCCCGACTTGACTACTGTAACTCCTTCTTTTCCGGAATCACAAATAAGTCACTGTCTCGCCTCCAGCTATTCCAAAATGCAGCAGCTAGGCTTCTTACTGGTTGTAACAGACGACATCACATCACTCCAATTTTAGCTTCATTACATTGGCTTCCTGTAAGTTTTAGAATCGATTTTAAGATTTACATCACTTTTAAAGCACGGACGGGGCTGGCTCCAAGCTATATAACAGAGCTACTGACACCATATGAGCCAGCCCGCAGTCTAGATCCTCGGTGGAGCCTCCTGGTCGTTCCAAAGTCGAGACTTCAAACTAAAGGTGCGGCTTTTCGACTTTGGAACGAGATAAGACTTGCAGATTCCTCAAGTCTTTTAATCCCTTCTTAAAACATACTTTTACAGACTTGCTTTTATGTGATGTCGTCTTCTTAATGTCTTCTCTTACTGGTTTTACTATTTTATCTTCTTTTACTTCTTACTGTCCTTTTGTTTATGGTCTTATCTCGTATTTATGCTCATATCTTAATCTCCTCTTGTGTTTTAACTTGGTAATTTCTTATCTTACTTAATTTGTCTATTTATGTTTCATATTTATTTTTATTAAGATTATAGTTTTGGGTTTTTTGATCCTTTAACCACTTGTTTCTATTTATTTTACTGCTCTTACCTTCTTATTGCTGTTATCTTTTTATTTGCTTTTATCTCTTAGTTTCTTACATCTTTTTAAATCTTTGGTCCTCTTGGTCTCAGCTCTTGTTGTTGTTCTTGTGTAGCCTGGGATCTTATAATGGTTCTTGGATGTCGGATTATATATGTCTGTTGGGTATTGTGCACTTTGGGTTCTTTTCTGTTGAATTGTATTTAATTATTCTTAGTATTTTGCATCTGTTATGTTCTTACTGGTGTTAATGTTCTTCTGTGTTTGGTTTAATTTGCTTTGTTCTTGTTTTTGCTGTTTGTCAAAGCACTTTGTAAACCTGTGTTTTTAAAAGGTACTATAAAAATAAAGTTATCATTATTATTATTATTATTATTTAGAACTTGAACTTGTTTTTAACTGGAGGCCATTGTGAGTTCTCCCACATTTCCAGAGGTGAGGTGCTGTAAAGGAAGAACTAGTATGAGTTGGTGCCGAGTTGTTCGGTCTGATGTTCACAGCTTGATTAAAAGAGTTCTCAATCAATCTTTATTTGTATAGCACCAATTCATAACAAATGTTATCTGAAGACACTTTACAAAAGAGCAGGTTAAAGACCTTACTCTTTGTTATATTACAAAGACCCAGTTCTCTGTCATAAGGCTCCTCTTCAGTCAGTAGGAGGAGACTCATA